GACTGAAAATAGATCAATTAATCAGTCAAATCACCGCTTTTCATCATTCCCATGTGCAGTGAGTTTTAAACGAAATTGATGGTAAAACAAAAGAAAACAAAAAACAACAGCCTCCTTCTAGGGCTTGGGGTGCTTGTGTTCCCTTCTAGGGGGCTCTGACCTGGCTCCTCGGCACACTGCTATAGGTTAGGTACCTCAAGAGTCTCCCTCAAGCTTGGGTCAGCAGACAAGGGTTTGGGCCCTAACCTAACCTTGCTACTAACCAAATCATTTAACTTCTCCAAGCCTCAGTTTTCTTTTTGGTAAACCAGAACTAAGACAATGCCTGCAAATGTTAGAAGAAAGACTGGCCATAAAATTAGCTTACAAAGCCAGATGCCGTGACACACGTCGATAATACCAGTCAGTGGCTGAGGTAGGAGAGTTACTAATTTGAGCCTGGCTTAGACAACCTAGCAAGGCCCTGTCTCAAAAATGAAAAATAAAGAAATTCCAAGGGTGTTGAACAGCTGCAACCCCAGCACTCAGGGAGACTGGGGCAACAGGACTGCAGATTCAAGGTTATCTTGGGCAATTTAACAACTCAGCAAGACTGTCTCAAATAGAAAGGGCGAGGGCTGTAGCTCACCCTTTTTCATCCTCAGTGCTACAAAAAGAAAACAAACCAAAAAAGGACTGGAGACAGAGCTCAGGCTCCTTAGATTTGTTCTCTAGTACTGGGGTAGGGGGAGATTAGCTTGCAAAGAGAGTAGCTGGGTATAAGGGCACTGACGTCCACGTTGCTATGCAGGCCTATCCCACAGCATGGTGCGTGGGTCACTCTGAGTCACCACCTTTGGCAGTGAAGAGTGGCTGAAGGACTGAGCCAGGCTCTCCTGGCAACCTCAGGAGCCAGCAGGGGACATTTCCAAGTGCTGAGACACCATCCTAGTTGTGCTCTTTTTCAGATAACAGGGGAGCCCTCATGAGGTGCCACCCTAGGCCCAGGCAGGATCTGGCGCAGAGCCCGGGAGCAAGGAGCTGAGCCTTGAGCATGGGTAGAGGGACCTGTCCCTGACACACGTCAGGGAGTGCTGGCACAGCAGGGAAGGGGCGGATTTACTGTCCCTGTGCAAAGCCTCCTCCTACGTGACTTGCAAACCAGCCTCTGGCCCCAGACGCCCCCGCCACACCTCTGCCTGTCTGCAGCTGGATGGCAAAGTCCTTCCTGGGACACTACGTCATGATTCTGCCAGTGACCCTGAT